TTTTTGGTTCATTCAAAACTATTTTGACCGAGATTTGACCATCGAGGCGTTTGTTAGAGCGGCATGGGAGACTATTGCCAAAAAATGCTATGCCGACTTTATCTATAAGTGTAGTTTCTGGACGATTGCCCCGTTTATATTAGACAAGAGGTCTAGGATGCGTGGTGAATAAATTTCATGAGACTTGATCGCGTGGCTTATTAAGAGAAAGCATCGCGAAACTAGTCGTCGAAGATTAGTGGTCCCGGTATAGGTCCTTCTAAGCATACGAGTGGCTCCATATCCGTGGAAGAGCATGCCCGTCACTTGGTAAATTGCACACTTTTTATTATTAATTACTTGTTTCAAAAAATTTTAATTTTCTTCTCATATTATTTGTAATGCATTTATTTTTCGGAAGGCAAGATTTGGCCATGAGCCAATGAGTTTTAAGTTGTTTCGGATGACTCACAAGTGACGAGATGGTTCTTTCGTCGATCCGTGCTCTCAACAAATAATGATAAGTGTTTTTTTAATTTCAAATATTAAATATGAAAAAATAATCTAAAATTTATTTTAATCTTATAATAATGATATCATTATTTTGATTACGTAGTAGCATGTGGAATAACTCATCCATAAGGAATTTGTGGTGTAGCGAGCGAAAGGAATCATGGAGCTAGAAGTTGATAAAAATGCCATATACCTCGAGGCTATTGGAGAGGAGAAGAAAAGGCTATATGGTGTAGGCATATAAGAGGTGCATTACTTGTCACGGTCGAGTGGCGGTAGCTTCTCCTCCGCAACATCGCATTACATCGTCGATCCCGCTAACGACGAGCTTTAGAAGGGCTATAAGGATACGAAGGAAGTGATGAAAGGGATGCATTTAAAATAAGAGGAGCTCCAAAACCCGATCTTAGAGCGACAGGTGACTATACATAGTCTTAAATCTCGGTATGACACAATGACCTCCTTAGTGATGAGGCCGGCACAAACAATCGGAGTGCTTGTAGATCCATCGACCGATCAACACCCTATTGTTCCTTCTATGTAACCTCCCGTTTAGCCTCTAGTCGATCCTCCCATCGAGCCCTCCACAAAGTATAAGGAGGAGGATAGGGGATTAAATGAGCAAGATGAGTGATAGAACAAACATTTAGCGACTTTGTTTTCTTTAACCGAACATACGATTGAATGTTATTGTAAATATTAATTTATTTTTAATCTATACATTATTACTTGTAATTTTTAATTATTACATATGATATTAATAATTAATAATTAAATAAAATATTAATAATTTAAAAATAAAAAAACAAAACAAAATGTAAAAAAATAGCGACGGAAGAGCGACGAATTCCTCTCTTACATTTAGCGATGTTATAACGATGGACTTGCGACGACATAACTTACTTCGGATATTAATGATGAATAATTGATTGTTATTTAGCGACAAAATTAGTGACGTTAGCCATGACGAGTCTCACGACGAAAACAACGACATATTTTTGAATTTTTTCATTGCTAAAATAGCGACAAAATGGATTTGTCCATTGCTAAAATTAGCAACAAGCAATATAGCGATAGACGGATCTTCCGTCGTTGAGCCGTCGCTACGCCTCCTTAGTCTTCGGATTAAGAGCAATTAGCGATGGATTATTGTCTTTTTTTTTTTTTTTTTTGCGGTGAACTATTTCAAAAAGAAATAAAAATAAAATAAAATAAGTAGATCGATGAAATTTGATCATTAACCGATTCAATTAGGAAAAACAACTACAATTTAAGTACCTAATTTTCTATTTTTATTCTATTTGAATGTTCAATCTTTTATCCTCACCTTTTGATTTTTGTTTTTTTATTTAAATTAACCCCATCATTGAAAATAGTAACATAGCATGGATTAGTTGAGACAAGACAAAAGGTCGATACCATTCGAATTTATTGAAGAAAAAATATCATAAAAATTTGATTAAAGAAAATAAGTATCGAAATTGAAAAAGAAAAAAAAATTAAAACAGTAAAAAATTGGCTATATAATTAGCTATGACACGGATGATTTAAATAATCGAGATATTAAGGATGGCTACATGGAAGATGTTTGGTATAATTAAGGAATTGCGAAAAAGAAGGTTGTGATAGAGCGTGAGGAGAATTACACCACTAGATGGAGAAAGATGAGTATTCGGGTTGCCAAGAAATACCGAAAGAAGGCTTCAAGATTAAGGTCCTTTCTTTTGAGGATGTTGAGACTATTAAGAGATAGCCCGAGCATCATCGAAATTGGTGCCATTTTGTGACTAGTCCGGAAAAGTGTCTTGACATCTTCAAGTGATTCAAGCACCTCGTGTATGAAAAGTTCCTACGTAACAACGAGCGGACCTTGACGATCATGGAGCCATTTGTTAAAAGGAAAAAAAAGAAAAAAGAATGAAATCCTTAGAGTTGATGTTGTTTATGCTTCCATGTATATAAATTTTACTTTATAAGCATAGTGAAGGGGGAGAATATCTTCAAATGGTTGTAAATCCGAAGAATTAATAGCGTTTGATGAAGTTGGAAAATCGATTGAGATGAGATGACTCGGTTGGATTGGATTGGGATAGTGATTGTTGAAGAATGATGGTTGGATTTATTGAAACACCTTCAAAAACGAATCTTTTTGATGAAATAGAAGATCCTTGAATGATTAAATTAGTAGATGTTAGAGGAAAATTAAGACTCTTTATTGTTTAAAATGTCATGACTCTTGTCAACTTTCACGCGAGAGAAAGACTACGACATCAATTTCTTTTTCATCTATAATTTTAGAGTCCGATTAGAAAACAAGTGTTAGGAATTAACGAATCACTACCGAGTGTAAATAGTGATGCCATTAGTATTATTGTTTGCTTGGTAACGACCGTCCTACCGAGTCATTGTGATTGGTGAGGAGTAGACATGATTGACTCGGATGTGCCCATCCGTCTAGAATATGACCGGACGAGTTCAAAGAGATGTGAACTTTCCTGGAATGACTTCAGTTGTGACACTTGAAATTCCTTGTACATTTGTCCGTCCGGTTAAACCCTATTGAACAAACGTGTTCCTTAGGTGCATCACTGCTAACACAAACCGAGACTCTAATGATGCACAAACCGTAAGAAAGCTACAATACTCAAGACTTGTACTCTTCATTTGTTTTTTTTTTTTTTTTTTAATACATTCAAGGCTTCTAACGAACTAATTTATTAGGATTTGAATTCATGATCTTTTGTTATAAAAGATTATTATCACCGACAAGCTCTCTAACCCTCTTTATTTGTTAGTTTGTAGTTTCGGAGGCAAAGAATAGAGGAAAGAAGAATATAATGACAGCAATTCTTCCAACTTGATATAAAGGAAAGAATTTCAAGTCATTGTTATTAACCGTGAACCATAAGCGGATCAAAGAAAGCGGTGGTGGGACAGGAAAAGTGCATTCGTCCCTCGAGTTAAAACTTCTTGGCATTTAAGTTGTAAAGGTTCACGGAAGAATATAGAGGTCCTTATCACACTCTATTTAGATTCCCCTCTTCCTACCTTTAAATATTCTCATTAGCGAGGAGAATGCCATATACCCCTCTTCCTACTTGACGTTTATTCCGTTTGATTTGTTTTTCAATTTCCGAATCCTCTTTTTTTAATTATTTTTCCTTAATAAATTTAGATGGGATTATTTTTTGTAGCCCGTTAAGAATGTTAACTTGAAAAAAAAAAAAAAAATAGACACTCAAATAAATAGAATAAAAAAATAAATTATAAACAAATATGAAGACTTGCTAATAAAGTAGGTAAAGTAGAATAATCGAAGTTTAGTTTTTTAAAACACAAGGATGACTTATAATTTACTCACATGGAATAATTATACTCCAATTTTCAACTTTTTTTTTCAATTAAGTATAAATATTTTAATTTTTTTCATTTAAGTATATCAATTTTTCTTAAAATTATCAACTAAGTATTTATATCAATTTTTTTGTTAATCGATGACCTATCCGTTATTCTCAAAATATCAAATTATAATTTTATTCTTTTCTCAATCAAGTACATGAATTTTAATTTTTTTATTGAGTACATCAATTATTTAAAAAAGCTCGTCAATTAAGTACTTTTATTAATTTTTTTTGTTAATTGATAACATTTTTTAATACGAAATTATAATTTTACCTTTTTTTTGTTGATTGAAATTTTCATCCTAAATTATTTTATCATTTTAAAATAACAAATAATTAAAAAATATATTATTTTTTATTTATAAATTTCAAACTAAACTTAGTTAGGTTTTCTTATAAAAATTAAATAAAAAACTCAATTAGATTTAAGAGTAAAAATTAAAAAAAAAAAAACACAAATGAATCTTCCGGTCAAAAAATCTTACGTTCGTATTTTTTTCAATTTTACACTCAAAACATAACTAATGTTTTTTTTTTTTTTCTAACAAGTAAACCTAACTAAGTTTAGCTCAAGATTTTATGACTAAAAATAACTTTTTTAATTCTTTGTCAAATTTTAAAATAATAGAATAATTTAAGGAGTTTTCCTTACAGCAAAAATGAAAAAAAAATGTAATTTAATTTTCATACATGTAGTCAATTAATAGAGAAATCGACGAAAATATTTGATAGATAATTTTAAAAAAGATTGTGTACTTAGTCTGAAAGAGTTAAATTTCATATACTTTATTGAAAAAAAAACATTATAATTTGATATTCTGAGAATAAAAAATATACTTAAAAATTGATGGAATTACTTAATTAATAGTTTTTAACAAAAGTTAATATACTTAAATAAAAAAAATCATATATTTGATCGAAGAAAGATTAAAAATTGGTTTACTTAGAGCATAATTATCTCATTTAACCCTCATTTGTCAGTCTCCTAACTAGAGCCGGCCAACAAAAGGAACACCATATTCCCTCGTTTCGATACATTTCTGTGATTTTCCTCCATATTAGCTATAAAAAAAAAAAAAAAAAAAGAGAGAGTGGAGTAAAAGAAACATGGGAGCTGTACTGTCTTACATGGGATCTATACTGTCTTACTTATTTGGGGGCTCAGTGGTCGCCGGCGAAGATTCAGCATCTGATGGTCAATCGGGTGTTACAGCGTTCCACTCTTCTGCCCGTTGGCAGCTCCACTTCAATTCCATGAAAAACACGACCCAACTGGTAACACCTATCTATCTATCTATCTATCTACATAGTCTCTTTATGTGTAATTGATATATTTTTAGAATAATGATGATGATAGATGGTGATTGATTTCGCGGCATCTTGGTGTGGGCCCTGCAAGCTCATGGAACCTGCAGTCCACGCCTTGGCTGCCAAATTTACTGACGTTCAGTTTGCCAAGATCGATGTTGATGAATTACCTGTATGTACTAACTACTCCATTTCTTAAAATATAAATCTTGTTCTTTGATTCAAATTTAAACCCCAATATAAACCTTGTTATTTGATTCTTCTTCTTTTTTTTTTTTGGTTGTGGTGATATATGTAGGACGTAGCACAAGAGTTTGGGGTGCAGGCAATGCCAACATTTGTGTTGGTGAAGAAAGGGAATGAAGTGGATAGGATAGTAGGAGCCAAGAAAGAGGAGCTCCAGAGTAAGATTGAAAAACACAGGCCTTTCCAAGCTGCTGCTTGATGCTGCACTCTCTTGGTTCTGCTACGTGTTTAAAAATCTTTTTCTTTTTTATTGTTTAAGCATTGAAAAATTGAAGAAGTTCTGTTGACTACCTCTACATCTTTTACGTAATGTTAAATCAAAATTGATGCTCGTTTATGTTCAGGTAAGGTAGTTCACAGTTATTGGCCAATGATTTGGAAGATGAACCTCCCCCTCTTTGCCTATGCTTCCGAGTGGTTACAAAATTATTCGAAGTTCCTTTTTCCTAGCTCTTTTAACATGAAAATCTTCTGACTTGGTCGAAATCTAATCTAATAAAATATCTAAAAGAAAAACCATTCTACTGACCTAATCAAAACCAACTTACTTGTAACATTGCTATTTGAATACTCGTTTCACAAGTGATTGTTGATTTAGCAATTTACTTATCCTTGACGATCAAGCCAGGGGTGCGAGGTAATGTATATTTTCTGATACCCCTAATTTGAACACCCTAAGCTATTTTCAATCTAAACAGGAATTCATGTTGCCTATACCATTTTTGCTGGCATGCACATTTACGTATTAATGTAAGTACAATTACATATGATTATTGTGGTTGAACCTCCATCCTGTCTGTTGTTGTTGTTATTATTATTATTATTTCCCCCCAAAAATCAGAAGCTGAGCGATGAAAACGCCAGAAGCAAAAATAAGGCATCGCAGATATATCGTGTTCTGTTGCATGCATCCATGAACAAATATCCTAGAACATACCATATACAACTAGGGTTGAGCTAGAATTTGCAGACGGAAGATGTTTAATGTAGTACAGCATTTTACTCGTATATAGCTCATCGAGGGAAGCAACAAGGGAAGTTGATGATCTCTCTCAAACAGTGTAAGCTTGCTGAATTGTGTCTATATCAAGACCCTTCTGTCTCACCACCGACTCAACATGCCCTTTCAGCGTAGTCAGTTCTCTGAGTCTGCAAGAAAGAAGGTAATTTCAGGCATTTTAACAGAACATTTCGATCATTTAACCTTTCAAATCGGTGTGAAGTTCATGCCAACAGGTTTCTATAGGACTAAAAAAAATAAAGGGTTCAACCTTTCTGGATCAAAAATAAAATGCAGCTATGATAAACAGAAATCCACTGCTTAAATGTTCCATACTGACTTCCGTTTTTGCTATTCAAATTATTATCTGTTCATTGATCAAATCAATGAAAGGATGGTTTTTGAGTGCTGGTTATCCAATTACAGAAGCGACTCCAAAGGATTTAGATGCCTGTGTTTGCTTTCCGTAGAATATATGCCTTCGGCTTGTGCTATGGAGAGATTCTTGTTTAGTAGTCTGTGGTCAACGAGAACCTATTAAGTCTATTAGAGGCCTTGAGGCATCTGCATTTTGATACTATATAGCCTGTCCACTATTATGCTTCATGATGTTATTTACAAGTGCCAACCATTAGAAACAAATGCCAAGCTCGGCAAAGTGTCAACAAACAAGTTCATTTTAATTAGTTCATCCTTGACGCTAAAACGTTTATTTTCTTCTGGTTGAATTAGAGATGAATCAGAGTAAAAGACCATCACATAGGAGGGTCCCAGAATTAATTCACTGTCAACAAGCATACCTTGCAATCTCAGCTCGTCTTTTTGCCTCTTCAGCCATCTGGTTAAGTTCTGTGTAACTGTTGCGCTCATTGAACATCTTTGTATCAGGGGCATGCAACCCATGGAGTGTCCTCTGTGCATGTGCCCATTTAAGTTCACGCTCTTCCTTCCCAAAATCCTTTTTCCTTGTGAAGGCAATCTGCAATACATAAAATTCCACCAGAAGCAGTAAGCAAGACTCCAACCTTAAAAAATGACTGCTGAATTAGTTAGTGCCTTTCATACCCTTTGCTCGATGACGAGATCCCAAGCCTTCCCACTCAAGGCATATCGGATGATGAACTTTATGAAGTCAAGTGGGAAATAAAAGATGAGGTTGTAAAGCCAGACTACACCAGCCCATCCCCAACCAATCCCTTCAATAGCAGCGAAGCTCCAATTCGCATAGACAGCAATCAGGGTAGCAATCTGTCCATGACCGAAAAACAACAAATATGTATTATCTGCTTGTTGTATTGACACAACTCAGAAATATGGAGCAGAATTGACATTCACTCACCAGCTGAGCAACAACAAAAGCTGTGACAAGTAAAAGACCAGGACGTTCAACAAAAGACCAACTCCTAGCTCTTGTGACGAATATGAGGGCCTGACTAATGGTGCTCACTTGCAGGTACACTGCAGAGGCTAGCATTCTGATGTCATCACGATCCTCCTTTTGAAGGCTTGAAATCCCAAATATACGCTGAAAGTTAAAATTATAGGTGTTAGGCCAATCAATGAGTATGGCGAGAAATCTAACTAAAACGTAAGCTTTTTTTCAACTTCAGGGGTAACTAATAAATGCATAATTTAGTGGATGAGAAGATAACACAACATCTAGTGCAGGTAATGAACAATCCATTCCTACAGTCAGAGAGAGACATAAACTTGAAATGTTATAAGCTTTATAAGGATCAAATCTTCAAAACGTAGATGCTATGTCCATGACAGAAAATCATCAAAGAAATTGAATGGGATTTACATATACATAGTCAAACTAAGCTTTTGGCTTTCTGTATGCTTCTGAATGTCTAGATCATCAATTATCAAATGTCCATGGAAATGGCTCACTTTTGTTATTGCTAAATTAGCCATCATAACGATAGGATAACACTGAGCTAAGATTGACAACTATATGCATGGGGCACATCTCAGTGGTAGCTGGTTTAACTGTATGGTATTAAATGAATGTACACGCAGGGCATGACATGGCACGGCATGGCACACTTCTCTTTCTTCTGTTACTGCTTACATATCTTTTAAGTCCATTTTCTTTTATCACTTGGGAAGCAACTTGGAGAAGTTTTTTTACCATTATATTGATAAATTTAAGATAAGAGAAAGTTTCATAGTTAACAGGTGTCTTTTGTGAAAAGAAGAAACTTAATCTGTCTGTCATTTTTCCACATGGTCCGTTGGTTAGAAACTTATGGGTGATGCTATACAAATCTGAGGGTTTCTGTTGGGTGGTGGCAGTTTTTGTCATTCAAGAACTTCAGCTTGGGAGAGGAGGTGGCTTTTGTACTAGAAAGAAATAATATAGTTGTTCACCTTTAGCAATATTTCAAATTTTGTGTAAAGAGCAAAACCAAAAAGGGGGAAAGAATCTGTTCCAGAAATCTCTAAAGAACTTTTGGTAGATTGTGTGGTTGCCACTTGATGCCTTCATTAATATATGTTTATACTTAAACCTATATGGAAGAGTTCATTTTCTTTGTGAAGAAGTTTGATTACAAATTTACTACTAGTTGAGAAACAAAAGATCAGAATCACGTCTTACAGGAAAGAAATCTGTCTTGTATGCTGTCCAAAAGAAAATGACGGTCATCATTGCCAAGTAGCCACCAAGAATAATTCCAGTCGTAAAGATCTCTGCCAACTTCCAGCTGTCAGGCTGAGGAGATGGTTTCACCCTATCCTTTGATATCGTCATAATCGTACCTGGCACAGTGAAGTCCATGTAAAAAGTTACAGAAAAATTTAACGAACAACAGACTGGCTCAGAGCAAACCAAATCAAAATTACACTAATCTAAAGGAAAACAAATGAGAATCTGCATTTGGGATAAACATGAAGAGAAAACTTGAAACACAGGATGGAGATACACAGCAAATTTTATTTAATCAATCCACAATAAAATTCTAACAAGTTGATGCAAGTGAACAAGATAACACTGGCAAATCTGAACTCATTTGATGTAAAGAGAAATACATACCATCATTAAGGATAGCAATAATCAGCACCATGAAGGGTGGGAAGTCGAACTGCCATATGAGTGCCAGCAGCATGAAGCCAAGCTACCACAGAAGAACTCGAGTGTTAAGTATGTTATATCACGTGTTATGTAGGTCAGAATTCAGTAATCACTTGCAATTAAATTGACAGTCAGCATTCAATTTCACCAAGCCCACTTCAAACAACTTACCACAATACGGATAGTAATGGAGACTGCATATATCTGAAACAAGAAATAGATAAACTTGTAAGTCAGAATTTTGTTAATTCAAGTTCTTTGGAGAAGATATAATGTCAGAATCTATACTCAGCTAATTGGGATCAACATTTTACTAGAATAGGTGGTGCCTGCTTTGGAGTTTGGATCACAAAAGAAATGTAATATCTGAACTCAGGCAGCCGATAGTGCTTTGATAAATTCTGAACTATTGAATAAACCACCTTCTGATTAAAAAGGCTCACCGTGTAATTTTTCATCCTCTGGAATATTGACCGGCTAGTTAGTACAGCACTGATGATAACACTGAGCCCAGGTTCTGTTAGGACAACGTCAGAAGCGCTACGAGCTGCATCAGTTGCATCAGCAACAGCAATTCCAATGTCAGCCTTTTTCAGAGCCGGAGCATCATTTACTCCATCACCAGTCATTCCACATATATGTTTCCTAGCTTGCAACCGTTTCACGATCTCGTATTTGTGTTCTGTGCCAATAGCAAGGTGAGCCAGTTAAAAAACCAAAACCAGAAGAAAATGCATCTTACTCTGTGGTCCTTTTTTTTTTTTTTTCAGAGGCTCACTTGATCTGAGGCTACTAAATGGGGGGTAGCCTTCCCCTTTTGCTTGAATTCCCACCTACTCATCCAAAGGTTTGAACCCTAAAACCTCCATGTTGAAAATTCCAAGTTATAACTCCTGGGCAATCCCAGTGGAGACTCTCATGGTATGGTCTTATGGAAATATCAAATCCAGACAAAAGAAAATATATTGATCACTGGCCCTAGATGTCCAATAACATCTAAAGACCTCTCACCTAGAATATATACTATCAACCTCATGCCACTAACCGTTGCTGTGGGTAGAATAGACCAATGGCTAAACTCACAGATAGGTTGTCCAAAGTGATATAGAATAATTCAGCTTGAAAGGAAGGACAAGCTATATACCAGGGAAAACACCAGCAAATCCATCAGCTTTTTCAATGAGCTCATCAACAGGCAAAGCTGCAATCGATTCATCCCTCTTCTGTCCTAACAAGGATGATGAAGGGTACATGTTCGTTCCCATTCCCAATCGGCGTCCAGTTTCCTTTGCTATTGCCAGCTGATCACCTAATGGAGATTAAGGGATAGTCAATAACAATATAGCAAATGCCACTGCAATAATGCAATGCCAGAAGATGATCAAGCAAAGTTAGAAGCACCAGAGGCGGAAATTTGTTCCTGATACAAATGGTAAAATAGCACTTTCAACAAAAAAGGCATACCGGTGATCATTTTCACATTTACCCCAAGATTCAATGCCCTTCGAATTGTCTCTGCACTATCATGTCTAGGTGGGTCAAACAAAGGCATGAGGCCAATAAATTGCCAAGGACCTCCTGAGCTTTCCTTCGTTCCTTTAGGAACTTCCTGTTCATAATCGGAAACAGAAGCCAATAACTTCTACCGAGTTGGCAACATGAACAAGAAATAATGACAGAGTAAATGCAGGTTACCTGGTATGCCACTGCAAGAGACCGTAATCCTCTATCCGCAAACTTATCAATCACCGCATGAACTCGGCGTTCTATCTCTGATTTATTGTGCACAAGATTCAAAATCTAGTATCCAAATTGCACACATTAATTACTTGAATATGGCATTGTAGACCTAGAAGATAGAACAAATGCTGGAAATAATACCTGCTCTGGTGCACCTTTGCTGACCCGATGCATTTTTCCTTCACTGTCAATATATGTTAGAGCCGTTCGCTTGTCCGTTGGATTGAATGGCAGGAAGTGAACTTCTTGAACTCCAGCTCGTGCCTTTTAGCAGTAACAAACCGAAATGGAGAAACAAATAAATTAGAATAACCAGCAATAAATAGGAGAGTTTCAGAAAATCAATCTAATTATTTTCAGTGCCATGTCTCAGCTGCTGAACTTTAAAGATGAAAGGTTAGAATTTCTGGTGCCATAAACTTACAGAAAAAAATAAGATTAACAACCAACCTACCTCTTTTGGATCAGCCAACATTCCTACTATTGCAGCATCTATTGAATCCTGGTTCTCCAATCGAGAAGCTCTAGCTGCCATCAGAACAACAGAATCTGCATCTACTCCTTTAACAAAGATCTGTCAATTTAAATCAAAGCCCGATGTTGAAAAGAAAATTAAAAGGTAATAAATGGAATCACAAATTACAGCAATCACTAACCAACCTCAATAAGACTCTTATCAACTGTAAGTTTATTCAAGGTCAGAGTTCCAGTTTTGTCACTGCAAAGAACATCCATTCCTGCCATTTCTTCTATCGCTGTCATTCTTTTTGTGATAGCTCCCTGCAATAATTAGCTTATATATAAAACACCGATTACCAATGACCACTTGAGGTTACAATGCTGCAATATCCAAGACAGCCAACCTGGAGAGATAAGCGATGGGATCCTATAGCCATTGTCACTGATAAAACAGTAGGCATAGCAATAGGAATCCCTCCAATAAGCAGTACCAGCAAATTGTCAATTCCTGGGCGGTATGGCCGGTGTTGAATTGGGAACATGACAATTATTTCTACTATCATCCCAACAGCTATGGAGCATATACAAAAATTTCCAATAGCTGTCAAGACCTGCAAAACAAATGCAATGAGGATTTTACAAACATAAACACCGAGGGGGTAAACTAGAAACGGGACAACTAAATATTTTGATGAATGGCTATCTAGATGAGTGATGAAGAGCACCAGAACCAGAACTACATCAAATTCACAATTCAGGGTATATAATCAATAATATTGGCAAAAGCTATATGCCTTTGTCAATTTATATTAGCTAATTCTCTTCTCTTTCTGATAATCATGGTCATGCATAATGGAATGTTAACATTTGCATCTCTTAGACCTTTTGAAAGTGCCCCACTTGATTGGTGGTGTCAACAAGGTGGGCAGCCTTGCCAAAGAATGTATGAACACCTGTGCCAATGACCACTGCTTCAATCTCTCCTTGTTTGCATGTAGAACCTGAATAAACACTGTCACCAGGGGCTTTTGTCACAGGAAGAGACTCGCCAGTAAGCGCAGACTGCAACCAAAGTGAATATAGCAAATTAAGGTTCAGTTTTCATAAATTGGCCAAAATATAAGAAACAAGGACTAGGAAGTCAATAGCACCTGATCGATTTTCAATGGATCGCCTTCAAGTAGCCGAGCATCTGCAGGAATGATGTCTCCAAGCTTTATACTGATGATATCACCAGGAACAAGAATGGACGCATCCTTCTCAATCCACTTTCCATCTCGAAGGACCTGCATAATTCACCATATAAAAATAAATAAATAAATTCAAGAGCTGAAATTTATCAAGCTAACCTCCAACATTACAATGATAACTCTAGTATAGATATGGAAAGCCAGTTGAAGAAATAATAAATAACACATAGAAACTACATAGGATAAAGCAAGTACAAGAAGCCAAGAAATGTTTTTATAAGTTACCTTGGCTTTGGGTGCAAGATGGGCCATGAGAGCAGTAGCAGCATTGCCAGCGTTGTTCTCCTCTACAAAACTTATGGTGGAATTGATAAGAAGCAAGGTAATAATCCCTACAAAATCTTGCCAGTCGGGTGGTTTACCCTACAAAATTTGTGAATTTCAGATTGAGAAACTTTATCCAAGAGAGATAAATTGAGCATTTGAAATGGAAACCTCCTTCAAATACTTTGTTCTGTTGCAAAAAAACGGAAGAAAATATGGAAATATTCTTTCTCTTACTCCTCCATTAGCAAGTGCAATCGCCATGATAGCAGCTGCCTCCATGACCCATGATAAAGGATTCCACATAAACCCCAAGAACTTCAAAATTTTACTCTCCTGCAAAACACAAAAACAAGCCAAACGATCTTCATTTCCAACACGGACACACACAAACACACATAAGTAGAAAAAAGAAAGAAAGAAATCTCTGCGAAAACTTCCACAGAGACCATTCATTTTTTTATTTTTTTAAAGCATGCAATTCCTTTTGTCGTTTCATTTCTCCTAAAATACAATTGCCCGAAAAAAAGTTCAGTTTAAACCAAATAACAGACACTAAACTTAACCTTACCTGCTTTTCCTCGAGCTTGTTATATCCAAAAATGGCAAGCCTCAGTTCAGAAGCCTCTGTAGTGAGACCATTTGAGTTACACCTTAGAGTTTGAAAAACCTCTTCTATTGGCGCATTTTCCTGCAGTCCAAATTCTAAATTTATCACCAAAACCAGAAATCAAAACCATCCAAAACAGAAGACCCAGAAACAAATTGGTTTTCAAATTATCATAACCAAAGAGATGGTTATGTGGTTGCTTTATTTATTTATTTATTTTAAAGTACCAAGTCCACTGCTTCCTTCAAGACAGCCTCCAAAGCTTCATCCTTGTTGTCCATCGCCACCAACTAATCCTCTAAGGCGAAAACTCTACAAAGAGACCAGTAGTAGATATGTGAAAAATATAAATAAATAAAGAGGATCAAGAGACAGAAAGAATATACAAAAAAATGATTGAATTCAACAGAGAACAAACAGAGTACTCTGTTTACCTCTATCTCGTATGTTAGTCCTATGTTTCAGTTTTCCTTGTTCACTCTCCCTCTCTCTAGAATCTTGGAGAGGCAGCTTTTTGGGGCACAATTGTTCCGTTGGGCGCTAAAGCAGCTCAAAGTAGATCATGTACTTGGCGGGTACAGTCATTCCTTCTACTTCCATTATTATATTCCCTCCACGTTACTCATGCTTTTTTCCTTTTATTTATTTATTTTTTACTTTTCAATCAATGAACGGTAAAATACAGCATAGCGTAGATACGTGTTCCATATCTAGGGATTAAGTGAAGTTCGAGCAAAAGGGTACAATAAAGTCTGCCTCGTTAAAATTAGATTTCTATGCGTTTGTAAGAAATGATCTGAAAATAATCATACTGACAGATAATAAGAGAAAGACCTTTATTTTTTTTTTGAAATACAATCATTCTAACAGATAATAATAGAATAATAAACCAAACAAAGATTAGTCAACTAGACACATCAGAGTAACTCCATATGAAGCTCTAATCTTCATATTCCTGGCATGTCCTGATCTTCTCTCAGTGCAGCCAGACGTGGCCTGAGCCGCCATGAAACCCGTAGAATTGAACTGTAAATAGTAAATACCAAACCTTAGCCTTCTTTTGGCATAAAAAAGTGTTCTAAGATGGCATAATGGCATGAACAAAACGTTTAAATCATTTGGAGTAATTTTTAATTGAACAGCCAATTTCATTTCATCAAAACTATAGTCTTTCAACAAACTCGTCAACTTTTGAAGAAATGCATACATATATGCATATGACATACCAACAAACAGTACAAGATATTGTTATTTTATAGACCAAAATCAAATCATTATTCATTTTATACCCAAATTATTTAATAGCACAACACCTTACGTAAAACATGATATTCTTTTGTTAAAAAGAATAAACGCTCCTTGCGTCCCCTACTCGCACAAATGATTCTTATGTCCTTCTACAAGTTAAACGATTTGGTGAAATATTTTTCTTCTAGAAGGTGGTCGAAGATTCCCATTGAATTCTTTACTGGGAAAATAATAATAATAATAATAAGGAGAGTCAGTGAGATGAGGGGATAAGGGTGCATTTTTGGCCTTATGAATCGTGGCATCCACGTAAATGAATGTGGTGGTTAAAGCAATTAGTATTTGTTGTCCTCTAAAACTATTCTTCCAAGCAAACATCAATCAATCTCAATGCTGTACAAAGGTTAACATCACCTTATCGCCCTCCTTATCCCAGCGAGTTAAATAATAAAAAAAAAATATCAGTTTTTTGGAATTTATGTGTTTTTTCAATTTTATTTAAATTTTTTATTTACTTTAATGAAAGTTTTTTTTTATTTTGGGTAAATTTTAATTTTATTTTAAAAATTTATTAAATATTTCAATATAACTGAACAGATAAAAATAAAGAAATTAGAAATTAAAAATATTTAAAAAAATATATATTTTTCAATAAAACAAATATGATAAAAAAAAGTTTTTTTATTTCATTAACAATATCTAATGTTCCTTTGATGATACATGACTAAAATTAAGTTAAAAAAATATATATTTTTTAACAAAAATATCAATAACCATTGTTGCTGCCTCTCAACTTTTTCACAAACATTTCATATCCATTTTTTTTTTGTTAAAATCATGAACAAGAGATCTAAAAAAAAAAAAAATCTCATATGAATAGGATAATAGTTTGAATATAGAACAATTTTGGCTTCAAGCGTGACTATTTGCATATATTAAATCTGCTATTTGATAACATCATCAAAGAAATAAAAGAAATAAAAGAGACATGATAGCATAGAGGGATGCGAAATGTGAAAGGTTTTCCTAAAAAAAATAGTTAAATTAATTTGAATCTTGATTTTTATTTAATTAATATTGATAAAAAAAAATGATGTTGTTAAGTGAGAATTAAATTTGGTAGGATATGAGAATTCTTAACAAAATAACCCTCAAAATATTAGATTAGTTTTATAAAATATTAATAAAACATATTTTTCTATTGATTTTTTTATTTTTTATTTCTGTTAATTTTGATTAGATTAGTTTTTCCTGACTTTTTGAATGATATTTTATAAAATTGAAGGATAAAATTGAAATTTATACATTTGATGAAAAAGTGTGGAAGGAGAAAATTGGAACAAATGTAAAAGATATAGAGGTTAATTGAAACAAAAATAACAGATGTAGGGATTAATTTTTTAAAAAATGAAAGATATGAAGCGTAATTGAAACAAAAATAAACAATATGAAGTCTAATTGAAACAAATAAAAAAAAAAGGTAAAATTAAGAAAACACATAAATTTGACAAGAATAAATTAAAATTCATCCAAATGATATTTTACTTTTGTAGTAGGTACTGATTATTTATAATTGAAGTTTCTCAAGTGGAGTATAAAAATAAACAAATAAATAAAACAAAAAGATAGAGTAGGCCTACTGTTTAGTCTTTTCAGATTTCTCTCGAAGTTGTGACTATTCAGTCTTGACACGTAACTGAGGTCATCTTTTCCATCAACAAATTCCAGCCAGTGGACTAAGCACTGACCGCCAAATGTTAATTAACTCCTCTTGTTCTTGCTCTTCAAAAGCAATTGTTTTTTTTTTTTTTCCTTCTTCTCCTTATAAAAGGTTGATTTAATCATAAGTTATATGAATGTAAAAAGATTCAGTTCCAAACATTAAGAATTGAATCCATAATCTCTTAATAAATATTCAGTAGATTAGTCAAAATTCCATTAGTCTAAACATGGATTGTTTGGAAGGCACCCTCTTACATCTCAATTTAGAATATAAATTAAAAAACAACCCATAGCAATTACTTCGACGATGATTAATTTTATTAAAGTGTAAATTGAATTACTAGAGAAAGATTATAGATTGAACTTGAAACATAGTTGTTGGGTAATTGTAACCCCTGTGAAAATCCTTAATCGTAAAGCAATGCATATTAAAATATTTAGATATATACATATATTAAGAGTAAGTATAATTCTCATTACATCATGAGAAAGTAATGCTTGAAATGTGTGATTTATGTTAAATTAATATTATTGTGCTTGAGATTAATGGTGTAATTATTAAAGAAATCAAATATGCAAAATCAATGTTTTGAGGATTATATTCTTCCCGGATTTTATGTGATTTATTTGAGGACTTTAAAGTAATTTTTGAGTAAAACTTAAAGAATAAAAGTTTTTTTTTCTATGTTTCTATTATCTCTCTATAAACGTTCGTGATTTTTAGACATATATATAAAAGAGTTATAATCATTTAGTAGATGCTTGGTCTTGAAGCATCACTCGTTGGAACATTTTTGGGGAAGAAAATTCCGAGTCTAGGGAGAGGGATTTCTGAAATTTAATGGAAAGAAATGTGTTTAGTTACTTGATTTATTCTAAAACAATGAATTAGGAAACCTAAACCCCCTAATTAATGAATTAAGTCCAGCTCACCCTAAACCTCTCAAATTTACCACCTTCTCTCTCATGACTCACTAATAACTTTTCACTCATCCAAATTAAATGAAGCCATTTTTACACCTATTTAGTTATAAGGAAATGAAGAATATATATATATATATATATATATATATATATATATATATATATATATATATATATATATATAGAAATGGAGTGCATGGTCTGCCATTTTATTAGTCCAAAACCATAGCTCATAAACAAGAAAGAAAATAAAAGTGAGAAAGAGTGAAACGGCAAAAGAGGAAAGGAAAAGAAAAGGAAAGAAAAAAAGGAGAAAAGAAAGAAGGTAAAGCCAAGGAAATTCTAACCATACCTAAGCTAAGTAAGTGGGTTTCTTTGGTTTATTTATGCTTGTACATGCCCATTTTTATGTGTATAAGTTAGGTATTGGTTGAGTTGTTTGTGTATTATTGAGCTTGGTTTGTGTTGGTGGTCGTTTGATGTTTTGGCTGACTGTTTGATGTTTTGGCTTGCTCTACTTATGGATGTTGTGTAGATGATGAACTATGATGTTTATAATGCCTAAGTGCATATCTAAGTATGTGAAAATGAGTTGGATTGGACTTGGAATGAAATTTAATTGAACTAAAACATAGTTAATGTGGGTTGGAATGAATGGCCAAACTAGTGTTATTGAGGAGTAGTTTCGTCCGACTTTGGTATTGCCTATTCAAGGACTTTAGAATGATTTCTAGGTGAACCTTAAAGAATAAAAGTTTTTTTTTATCTATGTCTTGAATAACTTCCTGTAAAATATTTTCGTTATTAATTTTATATAGAAAACATTATGCCCATTTTAGTACGGATCGTGCTTGGGTGAACTACTATTGAACATATTGAATCTTAAACTTCAAAATTATATTATGAATTATGTGTTTGCTATTTAAATCTAATTTTTGGATATGTTATGAATCAATATGTCTAGTTTCTAATAAAAAAAAGGATAGGATTTAATTATACTCGAATTTGATACGTCACCTACTTGATTAGAGGTCGCCCTATAATAAACCACAAATTGGATAGGAGGGGAAAATGAATTCCTAGGGTTTTCACTAAAGAATCCTTTTGGCCTAAGTAAGAAAACGAATAAGATTGGACCCATTTTATGTAATTAAGGGCATAGGACTCAATTACAATTTAATTAGGTATACATTAATAAGTTATGATGAAAAAGTAATCTTTGGCCACCTTAAGGACCTATTCGACTTAAACCCTAAACTCGTGAGGATTTGGATTCCAATCCTTCAATTCCATAATTAATGGTTCGAGTACACCCTAATAAGTATAAGAGGATGTTTAGATAGAAAAAATTTCTATGTAAACCGAAATTTTGACCAAGAACATTAAA